GCACCGCGGTGGCCGGCCTGCGCTGCGGAGCGGAGGCGCGGAGCCCGCGTCCGGCCCTCCCCAAGGTTGAGCCCGGATCAGCCTGGGTTGACAAACTGCGGCCGCGAAACGACAGAAAGACGCGCAGCCCGAGGCGCAGAGGCCGGCCGCTGCGGATCCGCCAGTAGGTGAGAGCGCCCTGCGCGGCTGCGGCACCGGCCCGGGCTCCAGGGGCGCTGGGGACCCCGGGGCGCGGGGGGCGCGGGCGCCTTCGTGCTTCGTTGGAGAAGTGTTTCGCAGAGTGTCATTGTGCGTCTGTTGGTGGCACCGGTGAGTGGCTCCGTGCGAGTGTGCGCGCTTGGGGTCCGGGCATCTCTCTGGGTCAGGATCGGTGCGGAGACGCGCGTGCTAGCAGCCCCGCAGCTGTGCTCATCTTCGGGCGACGGTGTCTGAGCGGTGTGTCCACGCTGATTATCCCGGTGGGGAGCTGTTTACCTGACTGAGCGCGCGGGGCGGGGTGTGCCTGGGGTCTGGGAGCCGGCAGGTGGTGCGGGTGTTTGCGTAGGAACTTGTCAGCGGGTGTCTGCGGCCAGGTGACTTGGAGAGCTCTGCTGGATTTGCAGTTAGTGGCTGGGGCAGTGTCCCTGTGTGTGTGCGTGCCCCGTGTGGCGCGGGACGTTGGGGGCGCAGGGATGCTGTTTATTGCAACAGCGTGCCAGCCAGTGTCACTGGGCTTGGCAGTTGTGTTGTGCGTGTCCGTGGTGAATGTTTGTGCGCAGCTGGCAAAGTGATGAAAAGCCCCCGGTGTTCCTGCCAAGACCACTGTGAAGGACTTTGGCATCAGCAGCGGGCAGCTGGCGGCGGCAGCGTTGGGTGGGTGAGAGAGGCAGGTGGGCAGGCTGGCAGCTGGCCGCCTGGGGGACTTCCATCTCCTTCAGGGCTGTCCATGGCCCAGTGGGGTGATGCTGCAGGGTGCACGGGTGGGCGGTGCAGGGCGGGCAGGGCCCACCTCCTGCTTACTCTTGCCCTCCCTCCAGGCCCAGGGCCCCAGCCCGTGCCCAGCCCTGCTGGGAGCCCCGGCCAGCACCACGGACGGCACCCAGGAAGCCCGAGTCCCCCTGGACGGGGCCTTCTGGATCCCGAGACCCCCAGCTGGGTCTCCCAAAGGCTGCTTCGCCTGCGTATCCAAGCCCCCCACCCTGCAGGCTCCCGCGGCCCTGGCCCCCGAGCCCTTGGCCTCGCCCCCCATGGCGCCCACTCTGTTCCCTATGGAGTCCAAGAGCAGCAAGACAGACAGCGTGCGGGCCACGGGCGCCCCCCAGGCCTGCAAGCATTTGGCCGAGAAGAAGACCATGACGAACCCCACGACAGTCATCGAGATCTACCCCGACGCCACGGAGGTGAACGACTACTACCTGTGGTCCATCTTCAACTTCGTCTACCTCAACTTCTGCTGCCTGGGCTTCATCGCCCTGGCCTACTCCCTCAAAGTGAGCCCCTGCCCGGGTGGGGAGCAGGGGCCTGGCTCACTGCTCTGCTCTCCTCGACCCCCAGGGAGCAGGTGCAGCCGAGGGACGTAAGGACGAGAGGGGACCTGCCCGCAGGATCCGGGTGTTGGCTGGCAGGTCCAGGGAGGAGCAGCCCTGCGCTGGCCTGAGCCAGCAGAAGCTCCAAGGGTGTGGGGTCAGAGCCAGGCTCCCTGTGCAGCTGCCTTAGTGGGGCCTGTGGGAACGGGGTACAGACTGAGAGTCCTGTCCTGGACAGCCTCCGCCCCAGGACACATGGGACTGAGCCCAGAGGAGGGAGCGAGGGCCTGGAATCCCTCCCCTGGGGACTGTTGGGAGTCCAGTGTGGGCACAGGTGCAATACAGCCAGTGATTCATGGAGGCCCAGGCAGACTGGGTGGGAATCCCATCCAAGGTCCTCTCTGTCACACGCCGCTCTGGGTGACCCACCCGGACAGCCAGGGGAGCCCAGGGGAAGGGTAGTGTGAGCGTGACACCCCCCACCCCACACTGCACCCTTCTCCTCCATAGGGGCTGACTGGGAGCAGGGTAGGGTGCCTAGGGCTTAACCCCCAGCCCCCGGGGCAAAGTGGAGGGAATGGCTGGAGCTGGCCGGAGGGAGGCTGGGGTGGGCCCACTTATGGGGGGGAATCCCAGCCCTGTGGGTCCAACCAGCAGGGGGTGAGGGCGCTGCCTGGACTCAGTGCCCCTCCCCTGTCACTTGGAGAGTTTGGCTCATGCTTCACCACATCATCACTTTCCCTCGAACCTAGATTCTAGCGTCCAAGGCCGGATGCGTTTCCCTGACTGCAGCCACCCTCGAGGTGGGGGCAGCGGGGGGGGTGGGAGACATGGCGGGGGGCAGTGCAGAGAGGCTCAGCTGAGCCCTGTGCCAGCATCACACGCCCGGGCCACCTGGCTTCCCCGTCCTCCTCATGGCTCATCCTTCATCACTGTCCGCATCACTCACACCTCTGTCCTCAGGGCTGAGGACCCGGCCCTGGACCCTGCTGTCGGGAGCTCTGTGTGTGTGTGTGTGTGTGTGTGTGTGTGTGTGTGTGTGTGTGTGTGTGTGTGTGTGTGTGTGCACGTAGGTGTATGTACACTGAGCATGCAGCACAGGGAAGGGGACCCTGGAGTTGGGGGAGAGGCCTGGCTGGCCTGTCGCCTGGCTCCCCAGGGCTGTGCTGAGCAGAGGGTACAGTGGCTGGGGCAGCGAGGGGCCACGGCTGGCCGATCGTCGCTACTCTTGGCACCCTCTCGCCGTGTCCTGCCAGCGGCCTGCAGACATGGGTCCGGCTTCATGGCTCCCGTCCAGAAGCCATCCCCTCCTCCCTTGGCTCTGGCTATGGCCAGCCGGCTGGCACGGGGCGGGCCCATCTGGCTGTGGCCGGCCGGCTGGCACGGGGTAGGCCCATCTGGTGGGGCCGGCGGGCGCTTGCCTGGCAGGCAGCGTTGTAGGTAGGTCACGGGCTCCTGAATGGCAGGACCTGTGGTGGGGTGGGTGGCTGGGTGGGTGTGAGCTCGGAGCTTCTGAGGGACAGAGGAGAGCTCACCGTGCCTCCGTGCTGGGCGGCCCTCCTGTGCCCCTCCTGTGGGGCAGCGAGGGCGGACCGACTTTGGGGCTTACCTGGGGCAGGGGTGAGGTGAGCCTGCCTCTACCCCGGGCAGAGGGTTAGCGAGAACTCGCTGGCTCAGACTCTCGCACCCGGGAGTTGTCCACCTGCCCCTCCAGCTGCCCGTCTCGGGGTCCGCTGGGCCTGCCACCATCTGCAGCCAGTTGAGGGCACTTGCAAGGGCACCAGGTGGGCTTGAGGTCAGAAGGCCTTGGTCAAACCCCAGCTCAGTCTCTCAGAGCAGGGAGGTCGTGGCCTGCCTCCCTGAGCCCCTGCTCCGTTATCTGCCCGAAAACAAATTGAAACAAAGCCACACTGAAGTGGACACACATGACACGGGCAGAGGCCGGGCCAGCGGACAGGAACTGGGCGCCGTGTCCCTGCTGGCCTCCCGTCCATCCATCAAGCCATCGGTCCCCCACCGCACAGCCCTGCAGCCGACTCAGGCTACACTGGCTGGGTCTGGAAGGCAGACGGGAGCCCTGCTCTGCTCAGCCTCGCGTCCGGGCAGGCCGAGACACCAAAGGCCAATTCTCCATTCACCGCCGCCGCCAGAAGCTAACATCTGACGGTTTCATTCCCTGCCTCAGAGTGGTCGCTGGCTCCTGTCGTTGGCTGAACAAAGTCCAAACTCCTTATCTTGACATTCAGGGCCCTTTGAGATCCATCTTCAGCCCTTGGCCTGTCCTCCCCGCCCCCCAACACCTGCTGCCCAGGCATCCTGCAGACGTGGGTACAGGATGTGTGCACCTGGGTTTGGGAGGGCTGTTCCCTCAGCCTGCAGACCTTCTGTGGGACCTGGGTCTCTTTTTCTGTGACGCCTCCACTGACTACCCCTCAGGCCAAGTCCCCACTGCCCCCCGGGGGCCCCCGCACGGGGCACAGTCCTCCCTGCGCTGGTCATGTCTGCCCGTTCCATCAGACTTGTCCTTTCCTCGCATAGGGACAGGGCTGACCAAAGCAGGGGCTCGAAGAATGTCTGTCGGATGGGTGAGTGGGCGAGGACACGCGGCAAGATGGACGGCGCCATAGTGCTTCAGAGCAGGAAGGGTTCAGCCCCGGGTCAGGGTGAGGTTGAGGAGCAGGTAGCGGAGACTTCTGGGAGGGGTCAGCGTTTTCACTGGGCCCTGAAGGATGGACAGATGGACAGGTGTCCAGATGAGAAGATAGTGTGAATGAAGACATGGGGCTGGGCAGTTTGGCGGTAACGGCAAGGCCCCCTGTTCTCTTTGGGGAGCAGTAGGAGATAGTCGTGGCAAGGCAGATTGAGGCCATGTAGGGAAGGAGCTGGAAAACCATTGTGAGCGATTTGGATTTCATCATAAGGGAAACACGGAGGGGAAAGGTGTGATCTGTAGCCAGCGTGGAGAAGGGAGACGAGGAGGCTGGAGGTGTAGAGGAGGTAGGGTCCCGGCGGGGGCCGGGTGAGGAAGTATGCAGCTTGAAGGAGGGTAGGGATGGTGGGCACGAGAGGAGAAGCAGATGTATCCAGGACATGGCGGCTGCTCGATGTAAGCCCAGGAGGCTCTGAGAATGCCCGTGATGCAGAAGTCAGAAAGAAAGGATTCGGGGGGAGGATGCTGTATCCGTTTTTGAATGTACGTATTTGCCCACTCCCTCTGTTCTGAATATCAGCATCGTCCATCTAGCCATCCTTTACTTTCTTCCAGACTCAGGTTTGCTCTTTCCCATCCTTTCCTCCTTCAACTTATCCCGTCCATTCGTATAATCAATCCAGTGTCGTTTCTTCCGAATGTCAGCCAACCTCATCCATCCATTTATCTATCAATTCATTCATTTACCCACATTATTATTTTCCCTCCTTTATTCCTTTACCTTCCTCCATTTCTTCCCCCCCACATGCTGAATTCATTAATTTGCCCATCCATCTATCCATCCATACGTACATACTTTCTTCTGTCCGTGTTCACTATATCCATGGATTTCCCTCACCCCTTACATGCCCCTCCACACGCTCACTCGTTCATTCTTCATGAATGCATACATACATTCATCTGTCTTTCCATCCATCCATTTTCCTTCCTTCCTTCCCTCCCCCCGATCTCCTTTGCTGCTTCAGTTCATCCCCGAATACCATCCATGTTGTTGTTGTTGCTGGTAGGTGCCGTCAAGTCGGTTCTGACTTGTAGCAACCCTATGCACCCCAGAATGAAACACGGCCCCATCCCGCACCGTGCTCGCAATCCTTGCTTTCCCTCAGCCCATTGTTGCAGCCACTGTGTCAATCCATCTCGTTGAGGGTCTTCCTCTTTTTCGCTGGCCCTGTACCGTCTGTGAGTATACCAAATGGTTCATGCATTCCCAACACCTCCATCCACATGCTCATTCATCTTTCCTCTTCCCATTTGTCTTTTCATACACGTGTTTACCCTTCCTCCCTTCTTCCTCTTTTCTCTTGTTCCAGTTTTTCTTCTCCACCTATCTGTCCGTCCATGCCTCTGTCCTACTTCTAGCCATCTCTTCCATTTTCCGGGTATCCTGCATAGCCACATACCCAATCGATCATGGCGGCTCTGATTTAGATCATGGGTTTGAGTCCTGGCCTCACCACATTCTAGCGGTGGAACCTGAGTAGCTACATCTATCTGTGCTTCAGTTAGGTCTTTTGTAAAAATGGCGATGTACCTACCTCAGAGTGTTGTTAAGAGGATCAGCTGAGGATTCGCTGAGAGAATTAACTGGGTTAAGACAGTAGTGCTGTTAGCACCGTGCCATACACAAAGTAATTCCTTTTATTATGATGATTTCTTCATACATCCTCCTTCTCCATTCCTCCCTTCATCTCCTCTACCCATCCACCTACCCTGTCTATGATTTTATCCAGTCATTCAAGTGTCCATCAGCTTCACTCAGACATCTCTTTTTTCTCAGCTATGTGTCCCTCTAGCCATCTTCCCCCTTCTGTTTCCTCTTCCCTCTCTTCTTGCCTCCCTTCCTCACCTTTACTTATCCAGGTACTCCATCCATTAATTTATTCATCCACATAGTGATGCAAATATATTTATCTACGCTCTTTTCTTCCCAACTTTGTTATTCCCATCTCATACCCAAACCATGTGCCTCATTGTACACCTCATCTGTCCATCAGTTACTCTTTCCGCCTTCACTTTTATCCATAGATACACCCTGTTTGTTGTTGTGGGTGTCAGTTGCCGTCAAGTTGACTCCGACTCGTGGTTGATCTTATGTACAAAAGAATGAAACATTGCCTGGTCCTGCTGGCATGATCACGTCCATCATTGTGCCTGTGGTGCCAGTCCATCTCGCCAAACGTCTCCCTTGCCGTTGTTAGCCCTCTACTTCACCAAACACAATGTCCCCCTCCAGTGATTGGTCTTTTCCGATGAT